AGCCAACTCTTTTTCCAGGCTCCTCTGGGCTCTGCAAAGATGCAGGTATGGGTATAAGTCAAGCATTTTCCCTTTGCTGGAAACCCTTGCTAGTCACACGGTACAGGATTAAAAGGAAAAAATCCCCCATCACAGCAGTGGTACTGAGGGACTCTCAGATGACTCTTTTGTCTTTAAGGGAGTTTCAATTTTCTGCCAGTTATCTTTACTGAGTCTAAACAGAAACACCAAGGAGAGCTCACCCCAGCAATGACATGGAGGGACAAGAGGACAAGAGCCTGTTAGCATTCCTGGAACATCCAGCTTATTAAAAAAAAAAAAAAAAAGAGCGAGAGAGAAAGAGAAGAAAAAGCCCACCCCAGGCCTGCACACTGCAGCTTACCGCCATCTTGATGTCCTTGATGCGTGCCGATGGCGTGGAGGCGGCTGGCACCAGAACAGCCCAAGAGAAGGAATGAGAGGCCAATGGAGATTTATGTGAGGAGAGTGAGATGGACAAGGTAAAATTGTCAGGAGGAGTTGTTAGAAAGTAAAATATATTGTGACAATTCCACTCCTGCCGTTCATCAATAAACTGACAGATCATTTAGTGTCAATTAGGAGTGATAGATGGACAAGTCCCCATGATCCTGGGCCAAAATTAATGGCTGGGAGGGAGAGGGTGATTGAAAATGACGGCTGACATTGAGAGGAAAGTCCTGAAGGTCCCCAAGGGGCTATTACTTGCCTCATTCCCTTGCAGATCAATGCAGGGACAAACCCAAAAACAGACACTTCAAGACAAAACTTAATCAGACTTCCTTTTCTATCTTCTCCTTCTCAGTTGTGCCTCCTCACTCGGTAGCCTCGATCCTTTGTACCTGTACTCTTCACATCACTGAAGACATCCACATAGGGAGGCAAGATGCAGAGGGAGCCTGCTGCAGGAGCTTGGCTCTGCTCCTAACATGGCAGTGTCATACGGAAGCATAGCCCAGGATTTATCTCAGCATTGCAGGGCTGGGAGTAGAGGGCAGACACAATGACACAAGCTTTTCCCTGCCATGTCAGATAGAGAAACTTGTGAACACTTTACTACTCCCACTTGCAAGACAGGGATGGCCAGAGGTTCTATAAAACAGACACTCTTGAGGGTCATCTCATATAGATGCAACACAGGATAGTTTAAGCCCATCTTCTTCAAACAGGAGGTTTTTAACTTTAGATAGCTCTAGAGACCTTAAATCATAAAAAACCTTAATCTCTTAAATAACTTTTCTCCAGCTCCAGGGTGCAATCTCACCATTGCCCAACCTCCAGAGTCCTAAATGATTTCTACACAAAGGTTGAGTTATCAATACCGTTCCACTCTAAAGGTCATCCCAACTGCATCCACTTCTTTCTTGGGCCTTGATATTTATCTTCCTGTGAAAGGCACTGCTAGACACGTCTGTTCCAAAACATTCTGGTCATTCACCTAAATAAGCCCTAATTATTCCAATTCTGTATGACTGAGCAGTCAGAAAAAAAGAAATTTCAGTTGTGGCTGGAGCACTTGTTGCTAAAATGCCACAATCCATGTGTAAGAAAGGAGACACATGGGATCAAAAAAACAAATGAAAATCATACTTACAGGAAGAAAAACGAAGGAAATTCTATAAGGAAAGTAGGATATAAGGAAAGTCAGATAGATGAGATCAGCAGAACCTGGAATTAAATGGGTCTTTGAAACATCTCTCCTTTGTCAAGTCCCCACCAGTATGCAAAAATGACTTTTTTTTTCCTTCTCCCATTGGCAGGAATGCTGTGTTTCTTTTTCTTCCTTCCAAAGCATGAGATAACCTGACAATAAAACCTTTGCTTTGCTTGACACGAATGTCAACACTGATGTTATTAAGGACATCAGTAGAGTTTTCAGAATGGCACTTGAGCTCCATCCAGTGGTTGGAGCGTTGCTTCTCTAGCATAAAACCATCTGTAATTACTGCCATTTATGTAATGTCAGCAGGGTGCTGGGCTCCAAGCAGCTGCCTTGGTTCTTGGCTGGTCCCCTTTCCTGTAACACTGGCGCTAGAATATTGCTGGGGCAGCAATGGGACTGCCTCTTCTCATGGAGAACTGTTCTTTTCTCTCTGTACAATGCACAGTACATTCAGCTGCAGAGAACCCCATCAGTAAGCAAAAAAAGATTTCTGTGTCATTGCTTTGCACCATTTATTTGCTGACGGCACAGGGCAAGTCTGAGGGTTTGCTCAGAAACTTATCTATAGTCTTCACTATTAGCCATATCAACAAATTGGGACTCCTAGTCATGACAACTGTTTTACAGAGGTGCTGGGAGTCCAAAGTAATCGCTCCATGCTTGACTTTTAGCATTATTATTATTATTTTTTGTAAGAACAAGAAAAAAGGACAGCATTATGATCATTCTTGGGACTTTAATATCTGACACTTGTAAACGCCATGGGAACTCGTGACAAAATTACTTTCTCTTCCTTGCACACAATCTGTGCAAATTAATTTTAAAACTAATTATAGACTGGACTCTCCTTCTCTTCCTAACTTGCAATAGTCTGAGACAGCACAAGTCTAATGGAAGGAATCAGCAAAATGGTGAAAATATTTGAAAGTTCACCTTGGTATGAGAAGAGCTGGATAGGTAAGGGCTGAGGAGGGAGCAGCAAAGATAGAAAAACAGCCACAAATTAAATTCTACTCTAACAGTTATTCAGTGGAAACACAGAGAACAATTTCAAATAATCATTTCAAACTGATGAAACTTGGATCTAGAAACAGCAGAAAAGAGTTAAAACAGCCCTGCAGGGAAAGCAGTAAGTTTGCAGTTTTACTGCTGAATCTGTCAGAAACAGAACTAAAAGCTTATACCTCAAATAAGGAAGAGAATGATGCACAAGACTTTCCCAAGTGGCTGCAGTATCCCATCTGACCCAAAATATATTTGCACAACACAGAAAATCCAACTGCGGTCATGCTGCTCACCCTCACTTCATAAGCAAAATATCACAGAATGTATTGCTGTCAGTTCAAAATTACTTAAACAAAATTACTTAAAGCAATATACTCCCAAGTGTAGGCTGAGTTACGCTGGCATAAGAGCCCTTTATGGCTGCATCAGATATGTTAATAGAAGCACGTTATTCTAGTGTATCGATATCTATCCCAGTGAAATTGGAGCAATGACTTGATGGTCTTCCAGACTGAGACAAATTGGTAGAAAAGCTATGGGGAGATAAAGCCTGAGAAAACAGAAACAAAAAAGCTACAGCAACATTGGTATGACATCAGCCCATCGATGACTCAGACTTTTCACATGAAGGTTCAACTCTGGGATATGTCACAAGGACAGCCTTACAGGCCAGCATCTCAGGCTTCTCTGAGGGAAAGGAAAAGAGATCAGCCTATCAAGAATCTGCAGCTGAAGCGAAGAAATGACAGGAGAAGAGCTGTACAAAAGCCTCATCCTTCCTACAACTAAAAGGAACGTCAGAGCAAACCTTCTGTTCATAAAATTTATTCCATAAAAGCTCTTACTACAAAGGAAGAGAATACTGTCAAGTATGACACAATACTGTACTCATGAACGAGAAAGGGGAACGTCTTCATCTTATGTCCCACTGGGCAGGGTGCTATGGGTAGAAAAGTCTGCAGCCCTCTAGCTCCTGCTCTGCTTCCAACCTCGTAGGAGTGTTTACTCCAAGCACCTGGTATATCCATTATCCATGCAATGGGGATGCTGGAGAAGCACTGGTGATAACTACTGCTCTAAATCTATCTGATAAGGTTCAAGTTAAACCACAGAAAACATCCTACAGCAGCACATAGCACAGTGCCATCATATTAGGAACCTGAGCACTGTCCTTCAGGGCACATTAGGCTCAGTTCTGAATAACTGAAATAGCTCTTATCCAGTCCCTCACATAGCCACCAATTACATGATTTATTTTTCCTAAGCAATGCAATTCACCCTTGTTCTTTGCTATCACATTTCCATAAGCTTCATCTTGGTTCTACAAAGGGCTGATTCTTCGGAGACAAAGAGCAAGCCATAATTTTCCCAAAAAAGTACTGTTTTCTAGAATGTAGACCATCTTTCTCAGCTCCCAGGAAATACCGACTGTGTAACAGGTCTCTAGATGTGCTGTCCCATTCTCAAGGTTCCAAGAAAGAAAATATATAACTTTTTCCAGAGATCAGTGTCTCCAAAGCACATGTCCAGACAAATGCACTCTTACTAAAGGCCTTAATATACACAAGCAATCTCACACCACCCGAAGGCAGAGCCCTTCAGTCCTGTGAATAACAAGTGTAACAGCAAGGTAACTTTATGGCTTGATAAATAACAAATAGATTGAGACCCCCTTCTGGTCTAAAATGTCCCTTAGTTCTGATACCCATCCTATTAGTGTATCTGGGTATTTCTCTTAATGTGTCCTTCATAAGAATCAGACTTTTCAACATACATTCTACAATTTGAATAATTTTTTCTTCCATCTCTTCTCTCAGACCATCTCCATCCATCTCCATTATACCACAAACCCATACACACATAAACATCAACAGATTTCATCTTTACCATCAAGGACAATCACTAAATGGTAAACAGTTCATTTCATGCTTGTCAGTGGGTCACTGACATGTGTCACTCTCCTGGAAAGGACGTGGACAATCAAATCCCATCCCCAGGTATTTAACACCCTTATTGGCTCCTTCCAGGAATCCCACATGGACTATACCAGGTGAGGAACATACTGCCTTCTGCAGACAGCAAAGTAAATGCACTTCATAGCCCAGACAGGTCAATCTACTCAGAGCATTTGCTAGTGGGACCAAGCAAGAGCAATACCTCAAATGGTTTCAAGGAGTTAACAAGGATATTGGAGACATTAACTGCAAAATCCAGAAAAAACATTTCCAGTGCCTGCAATTCCAAAGCCCAACCAGTGACATTCAGTTAATCCATGCTGAAGCCCCTATTAATAAAGAAAGAAGTGAGTACTCACTTGGTAGGTGCCAGCACAGGATCGACTGCCCAGCCTCCATGTCGGCGTGGGGGTTTAGGTGGTGGTTCCTTTAATTAAAAAAAAAAATAAATTTTACAGCCAGCTCCTGTCAAGCCAATTCTTTCACCAGCTCCACACATACACAGGCAACAATTTACCAAACAGATGGAGAGATAATGCTTAAATACTGCTTATTCATAAAGTAAGAGATATTTAAGATAGTTTTATACATGTCTATGAAAGCAGGACATACACTGCTTTAGTCAGTATCTTGACAAGCTGCAGGTCTGCGTGCCTTTGACTTGCTCAAGAGAGAAAGCAGAGGATACGCTGCACTCCAGGGCATGCTTCACTGGGAACACCTTCACTACTGCTGCTCACAGTTCAGTTGGGAGCATTATGTTTTACACGTTTGCTGGGACACAAGTCAGTCAGCACACATTTTGGACATTGTATTTTAGATGACAAATCGTTCCCTAGAAAGATCTGCTTTTCTCCACTGACTAGAATAGGAAGTCAGATGACAACTACAGCGAAGACCTATAACATTAGGCAAGATGAATCCTGCCATCACCACCTCTGGGACGATAAAGGGAAAGTTCACTCAGAGCTTATAGACACTCCCTGCTATTTTGTCTTGTGTGGCACTCAGCCACGTGGCAAGAGAAAACAAGAATTTGACTTGGGGCTCACAACAGGAATTTCCAAATACCAGGCCCACCATGTCAGAGCTGCCCAATGCCTTCTGCAGTTTGGGGCCCAGTCCCCTGCCTGAAGCACCTCATGCAGCAGTAGCTTCAGTGTTCTACATAACATGCAATACCAAAAGCAGAAGTAAGGTGAACCCAGTGGATAAATACTTACATATAGCTCCTGATTATCACAGAATCATATAATCATTAAAGGTTGGAAAAGACTGCTAAGATCATCCAGCCCAACCATCACCACCGTGCCCTCTAACCATGTCTCTCAGTGCCCCATCTACACGGTTCTTGAACACTTCCAGAGATGGTGACTCCACCACCTCCTGGGCAGTCTGTTTCAGTTGATGGTGCCCAGCTGCAACAGACTCAGGAAGGAATGATCCGAAAAAAAAGGATAATGGGGTAAAATGTCCAAAAATGGGGAAAACATTGTAAATGCAAAGAAGTCTAATCTGGGGTGAGGGAAAGAGGACATACAGCTCCCAAAGCTTTTATTAAGAAAGCAAATGGGCTGGGTGACTCCTGAGGATCTCTGACCTGACAAGGGAAGCTTGCTTGTGAGGTGGGGTCAAACCTGAGCCAAAGCCAAATTGTCTCGTCACAGATGAAGAAGGGGATGAACTAACCTCTGATGGTAGGGGTCTGCTGTGTTTATTTCTTGAAACAGAAGCATTGTTTGTGAGTGTGGGAAATGAAGAGAGCCTGCCAGGGGCAGCCACTGCCTGCTGCAGGGAGGGGGCACGACCCTGCATAGCTCCCTGATAGGAGCAAAAATAGTCATCCTCCAAAAATAAACAGGGAGCAGGAATGAGGCAGGAGCTGCAGTCCCAAAATACCAGCTTTCTTCAGCAAAGGGAGCACAGGAGGGCAGAGGGACAGGCAGGGAGCGTGAAACGCAGGAAACAGCCTCCTTATATGGGCTCATCCGCAGGGGACAGAGCTCAGTCGACTGGAATGACCATGTCACAGAATGTGAAGCCTTCAGGGGCCCAAGTGAATGGAGTTTTCTGATCTTGAAATGATTTCCCCAGATTCTTAAGATGCCAAACCAGAGAAGAGGCTACAGTGCCAAAAAAGGAGCATTTTGAATTCAGTTGATCTGGACACACCCAAAACCCAGGAAAATGGGGAAAAACACACCACATATGGGCGTGCGTGCCCACAAAAAAAACATCCCTATTCCCATTACACACACCCCTACCTCAGAAACACACTCCCTCCCACACTGATCCTTCCCACGCAAGCAGCCCTTCTCCCTCCTTTCCCTGTACCATTCCCCTAGTAGCCAGCAGGCCTTGCTCCTGAACACAAATGTAACCAAAGAACCTGGGCATAAGGCTGAGGGAAAACACAGCATTTCCAAGACACGTCAGTGCACTGGCAATTTAAGTCCTGCATCACCAAAACCCTTCTTCAGCTCCAAGAGAAGGAGCAAAGTTGGGCACTTCAGATAGAAGTGTGGTGAGAATGGCTGCCCCAGCCCTTGCACAGGATGTGACTCCACTGTGTTTAGGGGGTTGGTTCCCATGTCTTTCCAATTTTATAATGTATTCCCATTGATCATATGCATCAGGCAGCCCTGAATATCTGGCAGATGCTGACAAACACTTCACATACACCTACAGCCCTTTTATTCCTCTTACAATAAATCAGGTAATTTTTTTTGAGCTGCCCACAGAAACACTAGCAACAGGAAAGGCAACGTTGCCTGTCAGCTGAGAATAAATAGTTTTTCTTTGTTAGTTGCCTGGAAAGTGCCATAATAAGGTCACATGCCACAAGCACTCCTGTCAAGTAAATAAACTTACCTTTCCCACTTCTAAAATGTAATTTACAATTGAGAATGCAACGTTATGCATTGCCGTAATATGGTCACAGTTAGAAAAGTTGCAACTGCAAGCAAGCTTGACACAGAAAGTGAGAAGAATGCCAATGCCAGAGGAAGCAGAGCAGAAATGAAAGACACTGTTCTTCTGTCATGGAACAAATGTGCTCCTGAACACGTCTTCCTGATGAAAACGACTGTGGGCTTTAAAATGATCAGAACCTGTCAGTACTACCTGCCATATCAAAGGCAAGAGTTTCATTACATAACATACAAACATTACATACATACGTACATACATTACATACAAAACTATGTACCCAAAGTGATTTAGTGTTCAGAACACAGAGAATCCACCAGCTCCTGACAAAAGAGTTCTCTCTCAACTGCTGCTGCTCAGTCGGTTTCACACCATTAACTAATCACTTGTTCACCAGGGCTTGCTTTTTCTGCTTGAGTTGTCAATTCCTTATCTCCAGATTTCCCCTATCTCAGTTTCTGCAGACTCTCTTTTTTTCAGGCATGTTGCCATGTTCTGTATCTCCTGCTGATTTTTTCTCAGAAATTCATTTTGGTGCCATTTTCCCGAAGGCAGGGTTTCCCTGTTACTCTTATCAATGCTTTCATACTACCATCACAATCAGGATTTTATCTCCCATTTGGAAAACTACTGGCCTTGCTCAGCTTACCTGAATCCCATCTATCTTTTATTAAAGAAGAAATTCTACCTTCTTCTTCAGGATCTTTCTTATCAGATAGATGTAAGATTCTAATCCAGCTTCCTCATTAAGGCAGAAATTTCCAGGCTACTTGTCGGCTCATGTCTGCAGCTTGGATGGTGCTAGCTGGGTGTTGCTTCCCTCATGGAAGCAACTAACTGGAGGATCCAGTTAGTTAGGATGTTAGTTAGGATGCTTCTGACCCACCATGACATAGGCAGATTATGGGCATTTTGAGTCCCTCAGATTCTCAGGAGGATCTGGAAATGTGGATTAATTTATCTTTATCAACATGACAACTCCTTTGAAAAGCAAGCACTCCATGCAAGAGGCAGGGACTCAAATGACATTGACAGTACACAACAGAGGACACACAATCTTTCTCTTGTGCAGTACAACTCCTTAAAATGTGTGAGATCTGTGTTCTCCTTCACATACAAACATGGCGATACTTTTATTTGGCACATAAGCACCTTCTTTTCATCCAATAATGGCCATGAAGCAGAAAGAAAGGTGTATGGCCAGACCCGAGTTTCCGTTCCTCCAGCAAGTTGCCAGAGGCTCCCTGACTGCAGGAAAGCTGATCTCCACAAACAGCCCTGAGTAATTAGTTCTGACTGTTGCTTGTTAAGGAGCTGTAAGTCAAACAGCCCTGCTACTTCTAAGCAGCCACATAACATTCACAACCTATTCACATCTCAAAGCACATATGATATCAAAAAGGGATCTGTTCCCAATTGTATGCAAGCCTTGTATTTTTGCAAAAAGTGGCCCATCTCTGCTAGCCACCTTTATCACATCCACAGACTGCAGAAGTAACGCGTCTCCTCCAAGGACTTCTGCCTAACAGAAAACACTGGATTCTCTTTTCTTCCACTATCTTGTTTTTCATAGTCACTGACATCCCTTTATTACGGAAAAGGCTTTTGAGATGGAAACATTTCTTGGGGGGCTTCAAATATTTTGACATCTATCACAGCAAGCAAAGGAACAGCTCATCTTGGTTAATAGCTGACAAGAACCTCTTCCCTAAAACAACAGTCAGTTCTGGCTAAGTAGCATGTGCACCTGCTAGAGAAGCTGTCATACTGCAGTGTGTGACACCTTGTCTCAAGAGTTGCTGCTCTCCTCTGCATGAAAACAGTGCAAAACAATCTGATTCTACCAGCAAAGGATTACCAAGTAGAAACCTCTCACAACCACAGTTATAAGGCTGTGCCTCTTCCAGCCTTCCAAGATGTGAACGTCTCTCAACCCACTTGCTTTTACCTTGTGCTATATACTGACAGACATTCACAGCCACCTACAGCCCTCCTACAGTTCTTCTGCTACCTTCAGATGGGCCTGGGAGCACTTGAAGCATGAAATAAATGCGTGGAAGGAAAAAGAAAAGCTGATAATAAAATTATTTTCCATGAGATTTTCAGGTTTTGCCCATAATCCAAATCGAGGTGGCCAAGCAGGAAGGATACCACTAAAAAAGCTGGGGACTAGAAATGCTATTTCAGTAGATGTCATCAAAGGACTCCAGATAATCTCAGGAAATTGAAAAGAGCTGCCTTGCCAGCCAGGCACTTGGGGTACACAGGAGAGAGGCAGCGGGAGGCCTTGGGGAGCTTGGGCCACACAGTGCTGGGGCTCACACTGGGGAAGTTGGCCTAATTAGGGAACAGAAGTTCAGCTGCATTTTTGAGATTCCTCCTGGAGAACCTGGCCAACTTCCAGCTGTGCGGTCCCCGGGAATGGGCTGGGAGCCCTGCAACTCTACAAGTAACCAGAAGGCCACTGGAGAAAAATACGCAATCCTTGAGAAAAGGAAGCAGGTTAAAAAAAGTCAGTACTGCTTCGGATAGTGGTGGAGTGTGTTTATAAGCATAATGCAAGAACCCAAACAGATGACAGCGACTAGGACACACATGGACATACCTAGTCCAGTACAGAACAAGCACACATATAGTAGGGTATTAAAAATGTGCCCTAGCTACAGGAAATTCTGCCTTTGAGAACCCTCCCAGATTCTCAGAAATGCCACTCACTTCAAGAGCTACTGCCAGTCCATCCCACTCCCAGCTGAATGCCTAAGAAGGCAAAACCCTGGCAACAAACTATACAAAAAAAGTAGCCTTACTCTGGTGAGAGTTCTTCTACAAGTTGAAGGTCACAGGGAAGAGCAGGATGCTGGAGAGAAAAACAATGCAGTAAGACCGCAGGGTCTCTGGGACGTGAACTTTTTGTCCCATTCACCAACATTCTCTAGATCTTACTGTCACGCAAGTCATAGATCCAAAAAAGGGTTTTAAGAGGCTGCATTACAACTATATGCGTCTTCTTAAGTCATGAACTCTCTGGACTAAAGAGGCTGGACATTGCCTAAAACCGTGTCATTGTTATTGCATAAATAAAGTCCCCCAGAAAGCACATAGATGACTGCATCCAGTGTTTGGATCCTCAGTTCCACATTTCTAAGCAATGGGCAAGAAATGTGGGGAAGACCACTAGGGGAGCGCCTGCAAGGCAGATTGAGACCAGATCAGACAACAGAATGAGTTTGGAGTTGGGTGCCAACCACTGTGCTCAGATAAGAAATGGGTTAGGAAAATACCACTCTGATTAAAGGCCCTGATCATACAGAGCCCAAGGCCATGTCTACACCACAGGTGCAGACACACCTGCAAGTAGGATTCATGTGAGTCAGCTCCACTCTGTAAACAGTCTAGCTTTAGTTACTTCAGGTAACCAAGCTGTGCCACAGCTCAGCACTGCACAGCCGGTGCAGGCTGCTCCTCATCAGGGCGTCCCTGAGTCATCTGCACTGTATTTTAGGTTGCAAAGATATAACCTCACCAAACAGGGTCACTCAGCAACACAGGTCTGCAATCGGCTTCACATTTCAGCCACTTAAAACTTCAATAGCTGTTCCTCCAAAAACATTTATTGAAAACATTTGTTCTTGACATGTCTTCATAACCTAAAAAGCAACAGCCCATTTTTTCCCATTCAAACCATTTTAAAAGCACTGGGATCTAGAACTACAGAAGAACTTGGCTGCCCCTCTGGAGAGGTCAGATCTTCATTTCTTTGCAATTGTTGCCTTAAAGCATGTCATCAAATTTTGAGTGACTAGGAGACATACAAGTCACCAACCACCTAGTGAGGGGTCAAAAATCAGGTGTTCTCCCCCATCAAAGGACTTCAAGACTACCTACGGCAGGTCTACCAAAACAGAGCTATAGGACAAGGTCCCAGCTGGATTCATTAGTCCTAGAACAGATGCCCCTCTGCTCAAATGTTAGAAAGCCCTTTCCTGCAGCCCAAGATTGCTTCCAGTTCCCTTCTGCAAAGCAGAGCAGCTTCAAGAGAAGGGAGTGAGAGCCTTCTCAGATCCAGAACAGCTCATAGCGAGAAACATCTTTAAGGAGGAGGAAGAGGGCAATAGAATCAGTGTCTTCCAGCTGGGAAAGGAGATGGCAGGTTTGAACTCCGAATTTGTGTGTAAAACACGTGGCTTCAGCATCAACATTAACACCTCCATCCCTGGTGGTCCCTGAAGAAAAGAAGTCCTACTCTGTGACTGACAACTCCGAAGCACCAGGATGGTGGATGGGCTTGCCCTCCCACAACTCTGAGAGGTGCCAGAACTCGACAGGACAGCAGGGTTTCAGACACATTGCAGTTCCTAGCCTCTTTCTATCACCTTAATTCCCAGCCCCATCTGACATCATCTGCATACTACACAGGGGCCTACAATGGGCTAAAATATTGATTTTGCTATGAGGGCAAGGTATCTTCTCTGCGGATTTGTGTTGAGGGAATCCCCACAATTTTCCTATGTGAAGTTCTATCCCTCCTTTAAACAGGGGCTAAAGCAAATTCAAGAAGCGACTTCTCTAAGGCCCTAAAGCAAACCTGTGGCAAAGCCAGGAAGAGAACCCAGCAAAAATCTTAGCTCCCAGCCACTTTCATACTCCTGCTTATTCTGCCTCTGCAAATTAACTAAGAAATTGGGATACACCCTTTTCTTATACCATTGATCAGCCTTGCGGCCTTTGGCTTCATGTCCCAGGCAGCCTTGGAAGGCACAGACAAACGAGTGACTCAACTGGCAAAAATTCAGATGTGAGATGAGTGGTTTGCCAGGGGATGCAAAACAAGTCTCTGAGCAGGCAGCCAGCCGGAGGGCAGGACTTCAGCAGGTACGCTCACATCAAAGGCACCGACTGGGTGTTTGCTGATATTCTGGCAGCCACAAACTTCAGAGCAGCATGAGGAAAGGGACCGAATCCAGGAAGAGTTCAGATTGTAACACTCAGCACAGCCCAAAGGGAGTTCAGAGAAGGGTTACGTGAGCCATCAGAGGGACAAAGGGGCCAACTTCGGACATGATTCAAGAATCCAAGTATTTCAGCTTGGCCAGGCAATGACTAAGGAAAGGATATACTGCAACTGAACAGTTTTGGATCACACAATATAAAGTTCTGCTAATAACTGGTTTGGAAGGGGGCTATGATACAATTAATAGTAGTCAGTAGGCATTTTAAGCATACAAGTATTAAAAACCTACAAGCAGACTACTGATGAGTCAGATTTCTCAATGCTCAGTTAACCATTTTGTTGCCCTTCACAGGCATTTACAAATGAAAAAATACTTTCAAGCATGACCATGCTGCTTAACAAGGTATGCAGGAGCTATCTAGATAGGAGTAGTTTCAGAGAGGGGATCACTTCACCTCCTTGCTGAGCACCACCGCACAACACCCCCACATCAATGACAATTGTTCATGTGGAAGTCAAATCAGTTTAGTTGCTTTAATGAAATTGTGCAGCCAGGAGCAAGAAGGTGCCTGCAGCATGTGACCAGCCACCACTCAGTATAGCAGCTCTTCAGAACCCATGAATTAGGGCAATGCATGAAAGGTAGAATTAGTTCCAGTGAAACAACTGTAAGGACTGGGTTCACTGAGGTAATACATAAATAAATAAGAAAGTTTAAGACAATTATTATGAAAAAATGCTATTGGGTAAGTTCTTCCCAAAATAATACCCATCTGCAGGTAGTCTTTTTGCCTGATTTTTGGAAAAGTGCTCTGGGTCCTGAAGCATCTGTCGCTGACTAATAGAATCAAAGAATGGCTTGGGTTGGAAGGGACCTCAAGGATCATGAATCTCCAACCTCCCTGCCACGTACAGGGCCACCAACCTCCCCATTTAATACTACACCAGGCTGCCCAGGGCCCCATCCAACCTGGCCTTGAACACCTCCAGGGACAGGCAGCCTGTTCCAGCACATCACCACTCTCATAGTAAAGAATTTCCCCCTGACATCCAACCTAAATCTTGCCTCCCTCAGCTTAAAACCATTTCCTCTTGTCGTGCTGTAATCTACCCTTTCAAAGAGTTGATTCCCCGCCTGTTTGTAGGTTCCCTTTAGGCACTGAAAGGCTGCAATGAGGTCACCCTGCAGCCTTCTTTTCTCCAGGTTGAACAAGGCCAGCTCCCTCAGCCTGCCTTCATAGGGGAGACCTCTGAACATCTTTGTGTCCCTACTCTGGACCCTCTCCAGCAGCTTCCAGTGGATATAATACACTCAGTGGATCTTTTCTACAATATCATCTCTAGCACCATCAGAGAAAACTGAAGAGTACTCAATTCTTACAATAACAAAATGCTGCTGAGACCAGAATTAATGAGACGGGTGATACAAGTTTCTTTTCTGGGCTCCAAACTTCTTGAATGGAGCTACTACACTATGACAGAGTTGGTTTTTCAGCAGAAAGAATGAGAATATGGGAAAGGATGCTTTAAATATCTAACATATACAAAGAGCTACTCGAGCCAGGAAAGACTCACAGGAAATACACAAGCACAGAATCCTGTTACTGCTGGCTGGCCTTCTCCTCTGGGGCACCAGTGAGACTTCATAATCTCTTAAAACAAGTTTTCATGTTGTGGGAGTAAGCTAAACAAAGTGGACAGCACATGTAGCCTCCGACAGGTTCTGTAATCCGTCTACTACTCTCTGTCCTGATTTTTAAATGAAAACAGAATGCCTTTTCAATGGCCACACAAAGGTCTGTGATCTGAGTACATGAAGCAGCAGCTGATAAGAGTTGCTTCCAGATAATAAGACAAAAATTGTCAACAACAGGAACGGAAGATGCAGGAGAGGCACTGCTCTCAGGAATGATTTCGTCTTACTCTCTAGCACTAGGGTCCCCTCCTATGGTAGGCCCCAGGCACATCAATAGGTTAGCCTTACTAGTCCCCTTCAGAGAAGCCAGCATCTACCTAGAAAGCTTCTAGCCTTACATGGTCAACCTTTTCCTCAGGGTCTTCATCCTAGAAGGATAAGGAGGGAAAAGGAGAGAAAGAAGTTAAAAGGAAAAGCTAATTAATTCTGCACAAAATAGCTTGAAGATTGATATGAACTGTTCTGCAGCATATGCTATGCAACCTTAATCACTTGAACAAAGTGCAAAGTTGATCCCATTACTGTAAGGTTTTATATCCAGTCATTTACGCATACTGTGATACCACAAAGCATGCCTGTTTGACTGCAATGGCATGAAAAGTGGACAGCAATCATATCATTAAAAGGAATACTAAAAAACAAAAACAAACAAATACTACAATAAGATCAAGAATAGAACTAACCTAATGCAAGAAAGCCCATGGTACTCAGGCATGTAGGACACTAGAAAGATCTGAATGGCCAGACTCTGCAACTATGCCAGTCCAGAAAAGATGCTGGAGCTGCCATGCTGGGAGTTATTTACCATAGCTGACTGTACCCCTTTTTTGGGAGACACTCTGAGCAAAGTCAAATTCTCCACTTGTAGTGGTAGCTGTAGCAGTTAGCTGGACATAGCCCTAGCTGACAACAGCGTTGCATAAGTATATGAACTTTAGTTAACCCTACTGTAGAAGGGAACAGCTTAGTTATAAGGCAGATGAATAACTACAGAAAGCAGCCTGTTCATTACCATGAAACTTGTGAACTAGCTGAGAATCTTTCTGACTAACGCTGCCAGAAAAAGCACAGCAACAACCGATTGTTAGGCATCAAATGCATGGAGAAGGCAACTGAAGAACTCAGTAATCTCTACACAATTCAAGAAATAACAGAATAATTCAGGGAAACTATAGGTATCCTAAGACCCAGTACAGGGACTAGGGCTGAAACCACTATTTTAATCCACCTGACCTTTATCTGGACTGCATTATCTCTCTGGTGGAGAAGGGAAGTCATGTAATTTGTAAATACATCTCCAATTAAAATATTTTGGTATCCGAATCCATTTAGTTTCTGTGTTGCCATTTGGTCTTATGGCCTTATTAAGACAGAGGGAGCCTACATGCAGTTAATAGGGCAGCAGGGTACAGAAGTGTCCATATCTGAAAGCAGAGTAAATGAAACCAGATTGACCTAACCAATAAGATCCATTGGAACTGTGTATCTGTTAACCAGGGACTCCTTATTCCTGTATCTGACAGTAAAAAGATGTCTGCGGGGTCCAGCATGGTCTAAGCTCCTCCAGATGTACAGAACCCAGGTGGCACAGGACTCACAGTCACACAGAAGGAAATCCTGCTGGACAAGACATCTGGAAAGAAGCATTTATAGAACCACTTTCTTGAGCACTCTTCCATCCGGGTTTCATCCTCAGCAACTGATGTGCAGTTGTCTATTTGCTTGGTTTAAACAACCAGAGTCCCATTTAAATGAAGCTAGCACGTTAGCCTAAAGAATGTGGCCTGAAGCCACTACCAGGGCATCTGTAAGCTGACTGGCAGAAGTGCAAAGAGCTTCTCTGTAAAACACACTAGTGGGAACATCTGCCCAGCACACAGTGGAGGCAGTTCAATGTTTTGTCTGTACACTTGCCTATGTAAGATTTTTGAAGATATAAATATTCTTTTTTTTAACTATCACTCTAGGACTACAACTACATAGGCATGCTTACAGATAACAGGTACCTGCCATAACCTAGCAATGGTTGTGCATGTGAGGGAAGAACAAAGAACACACTTTCAGAAATGAAAGAACAGAGCCTTTCCCCAGACCTGGGTAAAACATGCAGAAGAAAACGACAGTTCTGGACAAATTCTGCCATTATGTGAAAGTAACCCTTGTCCTACCTGTAAGGAGAGGCCCCCAGCACAGCCTGGTAAACCTCATCCTTCAGGCTGGTGCACTGCCTACAAAAAAGCAGTCTCTGCAGAGAGAGCACTGCAAGAAAGACACTGACAACATCACATAGGGTTTGTAAGAGCAGAAACTCAAGAAAGTCTTGAACAAAGTCCCAAGGGAGCCTCTCCACAGTAGGATAAAGAGAAAATGGACTGCATAAGCAGAATAATACAAAAATATTTTTGCATACTGATTTCTTACGGAACAACAGATAGCCCACTCCTGCTGAGGAGACACAGAAAAGGAAGAAAATGCTGATATATTTAAACAGAAGTCTTTTCCACTCAGCTTTCAAACCAATCTCCTTAAGAGCGCTGAATCTGGCTGAATATTTTATTTTGGTGAATGTCATTGAGCTAGCATTCAGGCAGTTGGATGCAGCAATGCTAGAGCCAGGACTTTTATTCTAGACAAGCATCCAGAAGTCCTGGTAGAACGCGAGAACAAAGATCTTCAACAGATCTCATTGCATCATCCACCCCTCCCTTTGCACAGATAACACCCCCAGCTCAAGTCTGTCCCATTTTGCCAGAAACCCAATACCGTCAAGATGAGTAAAAAAGTAACACAGCAAGCCAGGGGATGGGAAAGGCCTCCCAATGGAAAATGGATATATTACTCTTCTGAAAATGAATGTTTGAAATGCAGAGTTCTGGCATGCAGCAAGTAAATTTATCTCTAGGAATTCCCATTTACAGCATATTCCCCTGGGTGCTCAAGAAGTGCCTGCTAAATTGCCAAGGAGCTCTGAAGACCAGGAACATGCACGACCATTGCTGCAGGAGGATGCTGACTGCGCCAGTTGCAGCAAATAATCATGTTCCTTCTTGCCTCCTGAAATAGTATACAGCTGCACTGTAGTTTGTTGGTACTTGTACTTCTGAAAAAGCAGGAATGCTCTGCATGTTAGATGGCAGACTGTCAGCTTAATGACCTTTAAGGAGCTCCTCAAGGAGTCTGAATTTGAAGGCAATGCAGATAATTCCACACAGGAATGGGAGCTATCAAACAGATTTGGCCAGAGGAATCAGAGAGACTACTACAGTTCAGGAATTTATTGCAGAAGAGCAAACAATGCATATACACAACAGGCAGACAAAAAATACTAAGATATTGTGTTGCTTTATAAAGCTCGGGGGATGTATAGCAGGCTACAAGGCACAAGAGACTGCAGTTATGTCCGAGGGAACAGGTTTCCACAACACATTTGTGAAAGAAGACAGACAGTACCATTGTTTGAAGTCTCTTTTTGAAGACAGAGTCCAGGTCAACAAAAGATCTGTGGTAAACTGATAAGATCTACACTCCAACTCAGAAGATTTGCTTATTGACTTCAAAACAAAGATCTTTTTAATTATGCTAAATGAGTTCACTCCACAAAGTGATTTCCTTGTAGTAAGTCCAAAAGCTGAAACATGGACAGACAGGTACTTTCTGCTTCCTTCAAGCAAGCTGTTCTGACTGTAAAACACATCCAGAGTGCTTACTGGCATCAAGAGAACAAGCGAGGACATCTGCGAGGACAAATGAGGTGTTCTCGTCACAGATTTGAGCTGAGTGGAGGTTGGGTGGACAAACATTAAAATAAATAAATGAAAATCAAGATGACCCCTAAAACAGTCCTAAAACCCTGAGGTACTACCAAGGACAGAATCACTATCCCAAAGAGAAAACTTCCCACAGAAGTGTCAATACAACAAAGGCTTAGGATAAACCTGTCTTCAAAATCACTAACAGGAATAAAATCTGCTGAAATAATTACATGGAACCTCCCCCACTATGGTGAGTCCTCGTAAAAAAAATATGGCAGGTTGTTTTTTTGCTGTTTTTGTTTTGTAGTTTCTTTTAGTAATGCTCCTTGAAAAGGTTTCAAGATGACCAGTGGGCTGAATGAGACACCCATTTTAACAGCTGACCCCACACTTTTGAGATGAGCCAAGCTTCCAGAAAAGTAGAACACGGTTGCCAGTCCAGGGTGAAGGAAAACATGAGATCAGTTCTATTAAATGTTCTTTTTCTTACCAACCATGGCCACGTATGAAAGGCTTCCAATTCCAGAACAAAGGAAAAGGCTGAGGATACAGTGCATTTTGTCTCTTCTCCTGTAGCTCCAAGGCTTTCAGTTAACAGCACACAAAGAACTGTCTGAAGGGAGACTACTGACACAGTTTTCTTCTTGGTGGTTAAGATCCAGTAATAACATACTTGAACTGTTTAAGGCGTGGAAGGCCTCACCCTTTACTGCTGTGAAGCTCACTGCCTTCAGTCAGAAGATTCTACTTCTTATTCCTCTCCAGGGATGTCCAAGGATGGGAATCTTTGGGAATCTCTCCACACCTGTTATAATCTCTGTGACATTAGCCATACTAAGCACAACCACAGTAAGTTGCAACCTATCAGCTGCAGTCCTACCACATGCCTCCATCCTTTTCCAGGCAGGGAATCAGTCCGCAAAGCCAATTGTGGTGAGAGAACAATTAGAGTGAGCCACTCTCAACTAGAAGCAAACCGATGTTAACACCCACTTGCCCCACCAGCTGGCTTCTAAGACTTTCTTTACCTATTAGTCCCACTGTTACTTTGGTTTTTTAAATTACCAAAATAAATGCATAAAAAGCTACATTTGCTTTGCAAACATCTAGCACCTGCTGTCATGCCTTTCTAGTGCTTCAGTGACAGATGGAAGAAAGCACTGATGAAACCACCTGCTGCTGGGGCCTCTTGCTAATTGGGAGAGTCATAGGACTCACTGGTAAAGCAGGGGATTACGTCTTATCTCCTGAGCTTCTTCACAGCGTACATTCAGCTCTTTAGTATGCATGAACTGAGATTTTTTGGGGAGAAGCTCCAGAGAGAACTCATTACAGCCTTCCTGTACTAAAAAGGAACTTAATAAGTAGGAGGGAGACTGTATACAGTCTGATAGTGACAGGACAATGGCAAATGTTTTTAAACTAAAAGAGGAGACACTTAGGTTAGATATGAGAAAGAATTTTTTCAACTCAGAGAGCAGTGAGGCACTGGCACAGCTGCCCAGAAGCTGTGGTGCCCCATCTCTGGAGGTGCTGAAGGCCAGGCTGAATGGGGCCTTGGGCAGGCTGAGCTGGTGGGGGGCAGCCCTGCACGCAGCAGGGGCTGGGACTGGGTGGGCTTTAAGGTCCCTTCCCACCCAAGGCATGTGGTGATTTTAGAATAATTTCAGCTAGTCACGTGAAATAGACAGTGACAACTGCCCAGCCTCAACTGGATGAGAGACATCTTGGCGAGTATCAGTTATTCCTCTTACTGTAAATATTCTTCTTCATTCTCCAGTATCCACAGCAGCACCAAAAAGAGTTGCCAGTGGAAAGTGATTTAACTCTAGAAACCAGAGCACTCACTTTTTTCCTAAGGTGGCAGGGAAGCAGTGCTACAAACCCTATAGAGTTTAGGTCTGTTCTTAGTATGGGCCTTTCCTTCCACAAATGCCCTCCCAGAATTCCTCTTGACCTCCTTGCGTACCCAGAGGGAGAACACGTAGGTGGGAAGAGATGATTCTCTGTTATGCTGATCAAAGGGAAAAAGGAGCATACTTTCTTCAGGGGGGTAAAGAAGGGGAAAAAAAGAAAAAAGAAAAAAGAAAAAAAAAAAGGATATTCAGTGTAATTTTAAGAGAAGCTGTAATGGTATATTTTCAACAACACAGCAGGGACTCAAAGGAAACAAATGTCCAGAAAATACTTTGGGACAGATGAGTGTGATAGAGCAACTCAGAGTTCCATCATTACACAGAGAAGCAGCCGCTCCTAAGACAGAAGGCCCAGGGCTCAGAAACTTGAAGTTCAGTTGGTACCAGAGTGCTCAGCAGAGCAAATTGGCCTTGCAGTTCAAAGAAACCAAGGACATGGTATGCTGGAAACTGAAACACAGGCACTGCAAAAACCAAAGTACTATTCTCATTTACACAAATGTCACAGTCAGTAAGCTGGAAATCTTAGGAGCCTTTTGTCCATTTGAAGGTGACAGGGAGAACACTGTCTTTTCTTGACTGGTGCTCACTTCAGCAGCAAATGCTATGGAGAAGCCATGCAAACATCAGAGAGTGAACTCCCACGTAGAATTTGAGGATTCTGCAGCACTAAGATATCAGATCAAAAGGTTCAGCTCTTCTGGGTTATTATAGGATGGCCCCTCACCCTCCTGTGAGAGAAGGGTTCCAGGCAGCTACTTTGTACTTTTTGAAGAGGTACTGACAAGAACAGACTCTGAACAAAAGTCTACAGACTCTGAACAAAAGTCTATCTCCAAAGTCAAATTGGAAATGAATTTGTACATTATCACAAAGCCTCACATGCTGCAAAGCTGGCTCTTAGCATGACCTCTGTAGCCTGTGAGCAGAGGAATGGAAAAATACTGTTGCTATACAAGTTGCTATACAAGCTTGATATTGACCACCAGAAATTGTACTCTAGCTCCTGCAGAAGCCAGATGCAAACGAGAAGTATCTGCTTACCTGTACTCTGCCTCGCTATCACAGGTGGTGAGACACTGGTAACAAAACAATAAGCCTGCACGTATGTATGGCAAGATATGCCACAACTGGAGGAATAGGTCCCAGTCTGCTTGTTACTACTCCACACCTCACCATGAGGAAACAGAACCCCATTTAACAGCTCTGTGAACCCTGCACGCGGTGCGGAAAGCAGCACGAGGGAAGGGGCAGGGCAGCCACACGGGCCCAACTCTAAGGATAAACTTCGAAGGGTAAGGCACGTCATGAGAGAACGAATCTCAGAAGACAGCAACAAGCTTCCGTGCGGGACACAGCGAGGATGTCCTGGAGCTACACCCACCTCTCCCGTGGACGCAGAAGAGGAGTTCTTCCTGCTGAGGCTCTCACCAGAGAAGAGGTCCTGGCGAGCCCGCCGGCCCATCCTGGGCACCTGTGGCAGAGGAACGAAGGGCACGCAGTCACCGACACGAACGGCTTCAGGTGGCCCGCAGAAGGCGGCCATAGCCGCGGGAAGGTCAGAGGGGAACGCGACCACCACCCGCACGGCACGCTGGGGGCAGCGCCCCCCGCCGGCAGCGCCCCGGCCCGCTCACCCCCGCCCGGCGGGGCACCTCTGCCCGTTCCCGCTCAGCCTCCATCCGCCGCCGCCGCCGCCGCCGCTTCCGGCACTCGGCCCGCCCCGCGTCCTTAGCAACCGGCAGCGGGGCCCGCCCCAGCCCGGCCCTCCGCCTGCCCGGCCCTGCAGATAGCGTTGCTGCGGATGGGCCCCGTGCGAGCTGTACGCATTAAACAAGGTCCCGGCCTATTTGCTGCATTTTTCTGCTTTCTCTGACACCCCTCGCAGCCTCCAGCCATCCTCATTAGCTTAAGCAGCCACCGCTCCCTAATTCAGCTGCGGCAGCCGAAGGCTGCTCCCCGCCCGTTCTCTACGCTCTAGGGTAGCGTTCTGCCTGCCCGGCTTCGCTGGGAGCTGTGGTCTGGCTGGAGGCCTTTCGGAGGTCTCAAGACGTTGTGTCAGAGAACCCTCTTTCTGCTCCTTGCTTACGTTTTCAAGCAGTTGTGCTGTAGCTGTGATGATCCGAGAATTAAGTGAAACGAGGTTTGTAGGCAGAGGCAATAACTTTTTATGAGACCCACTGATGCAGCTGGAAAAAGCCATACACGCAGCACATCTGTGCCCGAAAGCTTGTCTGTTTTTTCCAGCTGTATCAATTGCTCTAATAGAAGCTACTGTCTGTCCTTTCATGTTCAAGGAGCTCAGTAAGCAAGACGTGGTTTTCCTCCCCTGAAGCCAGGCTGGTTGGGCGCTGTGACACCGTCAGCCCCCAGACTGTGGTGATTCTGTGTCACTGACAGGCTCAGTATCCACACCAGGCAGAAGGGCACCACTCACTGCCTCCACACTTCACCACGGGAGCCATGGGCACGCAGCCCTGCATCTCCCACCCCCTTTCCGACAGGCAGCCACAGGGTGCTGCAGCCGCAGGAGGGATTGGAACAGGTCACAGAACAGCAGGACCCGTGGGTTCACTCACCTGGCTGTGCGGAGCAGGACTCAGAGAGCCCTCCAACACTGTGCTGCTGACTGCTTCTTAACCGGGCCTATGAAGCGCTGTGTCTTGTCCTCCGCCTGCACAGAGGAAGCCTGGGAGCCTGAGAAAGCCATCACACCTGAGCCCTGCTCCCAGCCACCTTCAGCAGCACACGTAGCTGCAGTGGGGAGCCCACACATTGCTTAGTGAGAGAGAACAACGGCCATCTTAGTTGGGGTGCTGAAGGGCGGCTAGCTGGGCCTTTGGCCTGACATGGGTCTGCAGGCATCGTGCTGCTGCAGGGAGACACGGCAACCCATAGCTGCCATAGCAAGAGACAGCTGCCCTACCCCCTCCTACAGGACAACTCAGTCGCCCTCGTGCTGACAAAGCTCCCAGCCTTGGGTGAGCAGCCAATATCATTCACACATCCATCGCAGTATGCCAAGATCCTTACTGACACCTACACCCGGGCCGAGACATGGAGGGGCTGCCCTCATCAGCTCACAATTCCCATTCCTATCTCTGCACTGGCCAGTAACTCACCATGTGGCACTGCGGCAAGTGAGCAGAAGCATCCCAGAGCCACCAGAGCTACGGATCAGCGTGGCCTCCAATACATGACCCCTGGAGTGCAATGCTTCCAGCCACCCTATGGGCTCCCACACCTGGCAGCTGCAGCTCGAGCAGGGGAGCCCAGCAGCAGCAGATCCCCCACCAGCCATGCTCCCAACTAGGACCCATGTTGCTGAAAAAGCATCTCCCCAGGCACCACGCTGGCCACAAGGGCGTTCGGCTGCCCTTCAGCATCCCTAGGGCACACCCGAGCTCTCGGAGGGCCCGGCAGTGGGCAGCGCAGGGTGTGGAAGGAGAGCAGCGGACACAGGGTCCGCAGGCTGCGGGCAGGCTGGAAGCCAGGCGGGGCGAGTGAGCAGCGGGCCATGGCCCGGGAGAGGAGACCACGGGGACCTGAGGGTGTGATCCCAACCCGTGACCGGGGCCGAGTGGGCGCTCAGGGCCGACATCCCGCCCGCCGAACCCCTTCTGCGGGCTGCAGGCTCGCGAGGCGGCTGCCCCGGCCCCTCCGCGGCTCGCCAGCGCGGGGCCCCGCGGCGCCCACCACCGCCTCTGGGGCCGCATGGCCCACTGGTCCCCGGCCCCTCCCTCCTCCTCTCGGAAAGAAACCGCATCGGGAAACTATTCGGGGTATTTTTGCTGCTTTTAACGCGATCTCGCCGCTCTGGAAAGGGGAGGAGCGGCGGACCACCGCGAAGGGCCCGGCCCCACGCTCGCCCGCCGCCAGAAGGGGGCGCCCGCGCGCCGCCGCCGCGGAGGCCGCCTCGGCCACGTCGGAGGGGCCCAGCCCGAGGCGCGGGGCCCGGCGCCGCCGTCCGCGCGGGGGGCGGCGGCGGCGGAGGAGGAGGAGGAGGCGGAGGGCGGCGATCGCCGCGCGCCTGCTGAAGCCATCAGCGCGGCGCCGCGGGCGAAGGCCGGGCTTGGAGCTCCCTCCCCCGCGCGAGCCCCGTCCCGGGGACGTCATGGGAGGGAGGTATAAAATTTCAGCGGCGAGCGCGGCGGCGGGGCAGTGTGCAGGCGAGGCCGGGGCGCGGCGCTGCGCTCGGCCGGCGGAGCCCGCGGGCGGCGCGGCGATGTAGGGCGCGGGGCGCGGCGGGGGCATGCATGGTGCAGCGAGAGGGGCGGGCGCCGCGCTCCCCTCGCGGCGGCGGAGCGGCCCGGCCCGCTGCTGACACGCGCGGCGGCGCGGCGCGGCGGGGCGCTCCCGGCTCCGCGGGGCGCGGGGCGGCGCATGGGGAAGGAGCGCGGCGCGGCGAGGCACGGCGCCGGCCGCTTCCCCCGGCGGAGCGCTGCCAGCTCTTCCTGGAAGTCGTGAGTCGCGCGCGGCGCGGTGAGTTCATGCGCCTCCGCGCCAAGCCCCAGCCCGCGGGATCTGGGGAGGCTGCCGCCGGAGCACCGCCCGGGGCCCCGCGCCCGCCGCTCGCCGCCGCCCGGGGGGCTCTCCCCGGGGGCACCGCCGCCGCCGCCGCCCCCTCGCACATGAAGATGTACGCGCAAAGGGCTCTGGTGCTGCTCTCGCTGCTGAGCTTCGCCACCGTGAGCCTCGCGCTGTCCTCCTGCACCACCTTGGACCTCGAGCACATCAAGAAGAAGCGGGTGGAGGCCATCCGGGGGCAGATCCTGAGCAAGCTGCGGCTCACCAGCCCCCCGGAGAGCGTGGGGCCGGCCCACGTGCCCTACCAGATCCTGGCGCTCTACAACAGCACCCGCGAGCTGCTGGAGGAGATGGAGGAGGAGAAGGAGGAGAGCTGCTCTCAGGAGAACACCGAGTCCGAGTACTATGCCAAAGAGATCCATAAATTTGACATGATCCAGGGCCTCCCCGAGCACAGTAAGCGCCAGGCGCGCAGCGCCCGGAGGGGAGGCCGGGGGAAGCGGGGAGCTGCGGCGAGCGCCCGCGTCCGGAGCGCCGGCGTCGCGTTGCGAGAGGGGGGCGGCGCGGCTCTGGGGCTGAGCGCGGCGTGCGGGGTTCGGAGGGAGCGGGGCTCCGCTGAGTGAGGAACGGGCGGCCCGAGCCCCACCTTTCGGAGCCCTCCGTGCCCAGCGGCGGTGCGCGGTGTGCCCGGCTCCTCGCTGGCTCTGGGAAGGCGCCTGCGTGGAGGATGCCGCTCCAGTTGCGGTGGGGGAATCGCGGGCGGCGGGGGTGCCGAGCAGGTGCAGAGCTGGGATTCGCTGGGACGCCCTGAGGAGCGCGGGCGCTGAGGAAACGGACAGATGTGGAGCAGGTGCAGTGCACTTGAGCGGGGCCAGATGCAGGCGCTAAGCAGATTCAGGTGCGGGAGCTGAGCGGATGCAGATGCGAAGTCAGAGGGCGAGCAGACACGAACCCCAAGTAGATCGCAGATGCAGAGCAGATGTAGGCACTGGCAATCCCCTCTGTCTGGCTTAGGATCTCTTCGGATGGGAAAATGTTGGTGGGCACACAGTCACACCACCTTCCATGTGTCCCCCTTGTGATGGAGCGCGGTGCTGGGGATGCAATCTCGGTGCCGGCAGCCCTGGGGTGGAGCTGGGACTTGGTGCAGGCAGCCCCAGAATGCAGCTTCTCTGCTAGGTTTATGTTAATCTTGACATATGATGAGCTGGAAACAGAGCTGCGATGTGGTAATGCAACAAATTTCACTTAATCTCTAGCAGACTACACTCCATATGGTTATATGATTAGCTCTCAGTTCAGGAGGCGCTCAGACTCAAGACACAGAAAATGCACAGAGTATTCATGGCTTTCCCATATTTCAACATTTTTGACTCACCAGAATGTTGTGAAATTCTATAAATATATGTGTGCAAAATGACACTGATGCGGTATGAGCTTTGAAGGAGGAAACTGGAAAGCACTGCGGTGGGTCATGAATACAGAATGGGTTTGGGTGAAGGAGGGGGAAGAAGAAGGAAGATGTCTGTGAGGAGCACTGAGGCAGTGGAGAGGGACAGTGAGATGGGGTGTGAGAAGAGCTTGGGGCAGCGGTGGGTGCTGCGGGTGAGATCACTGTGAGGAAACTGCCGTGGGCTCAGCCACTGTCCACAACATGCAGGATAACCTCACCGTGCCTATGGAAATGATGAGCCTGCCCCAGCCTCTCTGTGATGCCACAGCAAGGTGCTGAGCAATGAGCCCGTGTTGTGCTGACACTGCATTCTATGCAGCCCCTCTGCCCAGAGAAGAGGGGGTGTGTGGATTGGTCACACAGGCCAGCCTCACGCAGGCTGTGGTGTTGAGAGACTCCTCTTCAAACCTAGGGAGTTTCATCACATGCACCATGGCTGCGTTTGGCCCCGTGTCTTCAAAAGTGGCTGATGTTCAACTTTCCCATGGCTCTGTCACTGTGCCAGGTGGTGATCTCAGAGCAGCTGGAGCCAAAGCCAGGCTCCTCTGGGGGGAAGAGGAGGATGGCTCCATTGAGGGAACTGAGGATGATAGAGATGAGTTCGAAATGTGCGCGCATGCACAAACTGTTCTAGCTCCAGAGTATTAGTCAAGCAGTTTGTTGGCTCAGAGAACTTGTATTTCTCCAAAACCTAAGGCCCAACAGTGAGGAAAGCTGAGGAGCAAAAATAGCAGCAGGGAGAGCCCAGGCCTTCTAGGAAGGGAGGACTTCCAGGAGCCAGTCTCTGTCCCCAGTCTGGACTGCTGGTTGGTTCAGGGAATCGTCTTCCTGCCATGCTTGTGGAACACACTGATTTACAAGGAACGTTTCCTGCGAGTAGCTCGCACTCACTTCAGGGAGCTCCTAAAACTGATGGGGATTGGATTCAAGCACGGGAAGCTCCTGCAGCGGTTCTGCAAGTGGCTTTACGCACCTTCCGGAAGAAAACTGTGCCATCTCCCAAGCCAGCATAAGAGAGGAGACGATTAAAGCTGTGGGTGTTTGGGCCAAGCGTGTTTTCTGTCCAAACCTGCTGCCTGCAAAGATCCAGAAGGATCTGTTTTTCCTCCTGAGTTACACAGCTTTGACATTAAGCACTTTTTGGTAGCAGTGGTGTGGCACAGTGAGGTGATACCGGCCTGCAGCAAGCCAGCCCTTCCCTGACATCAAACTCCAAGCAGACAGCAGTCAGCTGTCACAAGGCATGCCAGGATCAGCAGCCATGTGGGATTGGTGGCATGTGGAGAACCGGCACCTCCCTGAAAGCAGTGATTGGAAGAGGGGAGTTCCCAGAGAACATGCTCCTTGTGTCCTATCCTCCACTGCAAGGCCCTGCTGGTCCCATTATCTGTTCCATCAGCAGCTCAGCAATTGGCTAGATTCCATAGTCATAGCAGGGTCTGATCGTGAAGATAGAGCCTGTCATGTCAGGCAGACTGCTGTAGGTACATGGGTGGCACAGATTTCCTTCTCTTGGCCTTATTACAGACACTGAGTGTTGTAGATTGGAGGAGCTTGCAGGAATATTTCTTCTAGGCTTTGTTCTTTGCTGGTATCTGGGCAATTCCAGATCCTGGTATGATTAATGTGCCCTGAGCTGGGACTGGAATGAGTTCCCTGAAAACATCACTTAACTGTGCACACCTCTGACCTCTTAACTTAAGGATTTTGCTCAAAAAGCAGAATTGTTCTGGAGTGAGACCTGTATTCTGGACATCTGGCTGTGAGAAGCAGGCTCTAACCTTGCAGTGGTCAGAATGAAACAACAGCTCCATCTCCCCCATCACAGGGGGCTTGTTCCCAGGGCATGAAAGCAACCTAAACCTGCTATGTTAGGAAAGACTGCTCTTACTGTTCCCACCAGGAAGGTCTCCAAAACACCATTAGAAGTAGGTAGGAGGCATTGCAATGATAGCAAGAGAATACAGAAGATGGCCATTCATCTCTTATTAGCATAGCTGCCTCACTGAGCCAAAAAATTTAAGAAGCTGACAAACAATAAATGATTTTGTTTCTCATCTGCACTGCGCTGTAGGACCAGATTTGGACCAGACTTACAGTCTCTAAATCGATTATCAGATGAAGTGTCAACGTTGTAAATGGACTGTGGGCTAGGCTGGCCACTGGTCTGATGTGGAGGCACTTGTGAGGATTGGTGGAACACCCCCTCACAGACAGGCGGTCGGCTCAGAAATGGAAGGGCAGGCTGTTAACAGCGCTATTAATAGGGCAAGCATTACAAAACAGCTTAAGGGGGTATTAAAGCACAGTATCCACCTAGGTCTAACAGAACATTAGCAGTGTTAGACTTCAGCTAGAAAGATGCCCTTGGGCACATGATGAGATCAGAGCTTGCTGGTCTGTGCTTATCTGTGGCACAAACCGGTCAGTGGTGGAGTCCCCATAGCGGGTGTCCTCTCCCGGCTCAGTGCTCTCTGTGCTGTAGGGCTCTCGGGCTGAATGTGCCAGCTCTTTGCTGCAATGGATCTGGTCTCCTGGGGCTGCAAAAATCTCAGTCTTTAACAGCAGGCAGAGATGTTCACAGGTGGAAAAGCTGTTCCATTCAATAGTAGGTATGGCAAAAAGCCTCAAAACAAATTTCAATGTGAGCATCTGGTCGTTAGCTTATTGAGTAAAACTTTAGGTCCCTAAGAACACACATTTGTGAACTGGCAGGCTCCTGCTTGCTAAAGCCAGGTGTAGCATAAAAGGAAGACCTTCAGCTTCATCAAGATGGCCCCAGAAGTTAATCACTGTTGCTCAAAGCAGAATTTGGCGTGGGAGATGAGCCTATGTTCTCAGACACTGTTCCACCAGCCCATCTTCAGAACTTGTCTCTGTGGGATATGGGTGCTTTGAAGACAGGGGCCAACTCCAGGAATACAGTTTCAAGGTTGCCAGGTCTTCTAGCCTGTTTGTCACAGGCTGGAACTGTGGCTTAGAAAAAGTGATTTTTATGTGTATGGTTTTATTGTTTTGCTTTTAATTAAAAAAGAAAAAAAATGTCAAAAAAAAAAAACAAAAAAAAAAACCCACAAATATCAGCTGATACAAGAGCCTGGTGTTGCCTTGGAGAACAGCCATAGGTCATATGAGAAGCTCTGCAGGACTCCAAACAGATCTGCATGTGGGTGTAGAGCAGGAGTTGCTGTGCCTTGCCTGCAGGAAGCCTTAAAGCCTGACTGATGCTACAGCCTTGACATCTAAGAGAGGTCAGAAGGAGAGGAGCAGCAGGGATCACTGCTTCTTCCATGGAACCAAAGCAGTCCCAATGAAGAGATGCTCATTTTCTCTTGAGGAAATCTTGTACCTGTACTCTTTTGGGGCATCTGTGAAGTGGATTTTTCTGCTCAGCAGGCACACATCCAGGCAGAGCCTTGCTGTGCTATTTCCTCCTCATGTGTCTGATCTCTGCAGTCCTCTGTCCCCAAAGAACTCTGTATCAAGTACTATCCATGAATTCCTCCTCCAGGTCATGAGTGAGAACTGACCTTAAAACCTAGTTCCTTTAGAACGCACTGGAGAGTCACTGCTCCCAAGATGTCTTCTGCATCTCATAATTATGACAGAATCATTGGACATGGAAGGGACCCTTAAACGCCATCTAGTCCAACTCCCTGCAATGAGCAGGGACACCTGCAGCTCAGTCAGGTTGCTCAGAGGCCCATCCAGCCTGATCTTGGCTGTCTCGAGGGATGGGGCAGCCACCACATCTCTGGGCAACCTGTTCTAGCGCCTCACCAAACTTCGTGGACACTTCTCTGGCTTTCATTACAGACCTTGACGTTGTCTCCTGTAATAAGATCACTTGCTGTGTGGCTTCATGTCTCCTCCAGCATGAGCACAGAGTTACACCATCATGGTTACTGGGAATGGGCCCCATGAGGAGCAAACGAGGTTGTCCCCTTGTGTTAGTTGGGGTTGCATTGACAAATGCAGGAAACTTACAAGCATTATCAACATTTGATGAGTAGAGTTGGAAGAGACAGTTAAGAATACTGTGATTGGTCTCCACCGATTCTCTGGCTTGTAGCATTGAAATGATGGCAGTAGCGAGAAGATTTTCAGAACATTCCAACATAGAGCAAATTAGAGTTAATTCCTCCTGCTGTCTCTTTAACCAGACAACTGAACTTGAAGGTGGTGAGATGTTTAGTCAGAAGCTCTTTCTCAGTCACTTCTGGCCTGAAATTCTTACCCTCTCCCTCTTTTTTCTCCTAGATGAGTTGGGCATTTGCCCAAAAGGTGTCACCTCCAATGTGTTCCGGTTTAATGTGTCCTCAGCAGAGAAGAACAGCACCAACCTGTTTCGAGCAGAGTTCCGGGTGCTACGTGTGCCCAACCCGAGCTCCAAGCGCAGCGAGCAGCGCATTGAGCTCTTCCAGGTGAGTATCTTTCTCACCTTCCTCACTGCCTCAGGCCAGAACAGCTTGGCTCCATAGTGACTGTCCCAGCTTGTGGGTGCAAGGCCATAGGTAAGAGGGAGAAGAGATGCCATACTTTGCTCCAGGCTTCTTCCAGCATGTAAGCAGTGATACAGACACATTTTTTTCCAGTCTCAGTGTGGTACTGTCTTTTTCCCCACTCACATTGTCCAGCTGTTGTGGGTACTGTGAATTATGCGGCTCTTTTCTATACTGAGAAGGGGTTGGAAGAGGATCTCCTCACCAGCAGAGAAGCCCTGACACTTCTGCCTAAGTCCCTTGGCAGAGTTGTTCCTCTGAGTGTTGCAGTACAGTACAGTTGGTGCTAATCCAATGGGTGGAGCTCTCTGACTTTCACAGACTTACTGGAGAAGAAATGCTTGCTTTCAGTGTTCCTTTCATCAGCAGTTCTTTGGGGATGGTTGCTGGCACCTTTAGTGCAGGTGCTCATCTGGAGTTTGGTTTGAACTCTTGGTGTCCGCTGGCAAGATAAGGTCTGGTTCAAGTTTGGAAGTGGTCTCTGGCCATGCTGGATCACACAGCTAATGGGGTAGTTCAGCATCCAAGCAGCATATTCCCACAGGCTGCTGTCTGTCTGCTGTGTAGTAACAATGCAGCTAAAATTGCCCTTTAGCTGTTAGCTCTTAAGGTCCTCTTGGAATTCATCCTTAAAAGGCAGACCAGTTCTCCAGCTAACAGATGATAACAATTGCTAACAGACAACCCCAAAGCTTCTCCACAGGCTGCGTGGGATGAACCTGGAGTCCTGCAGCAAGGAGCACTTTGCACAGGCTGCTGGTGTCTGTCTGGAAATGGGATGTCAGAGCAGGGAGTGAGTTCTCCAAACTCGATCCATCCTGGTGTGCTTTGATTGATGTTGAAGTATAGAGAACACATGAAAATATCACTTCGTAGGATTCGAGAGACTTGCTGGACAAGGGACCCATGGCTAGATGCTCATTTACCCACTGCTGTTTTACTTTGTAATTCAGACCCACATTGCACATGTGAATACAGAAACAAAACCACCCGTTAGATCTATCACCGTATATTTGTGCTTCTGATGTGCACCCTGAAACAAGGACGAACTAGGAGAGGTGAGCTGCTTGGGGCCCAGAAATACAGGCTGGAGAAATAGGTTGGTTGTGAAGCATGTCCCTCTAATGTGCCAGGTATTCCTGGTGCTCCACGTACTGGGACTCACCTTCCAAATTTGTTTGTAGCAAGCTGTGGAAAAAGAAGGACACAGAGCTGTTCCTTCCTTGAGCACAGACTGGCTCACTCTCTACTGCTCCTTCTATCGCAGATCCTGCGGCCGGATGAGCACATAGCAAAGCAGCGCTACCTCAGTGGCAGGAATGTGCAGACGCGGGGCTCCCCTGAATGGCTGTCCTTTGATGTCACCGAGACCGTGCGTGAGTGGCTTCTGCACAGAGGTAGGGGTCACAGCTGGACTGGGTGTGACGGCATCCATAGAAGCGTGGATCGTGTTGTCAGGAGCATCTTCTCAGGAGCACCACTTAAATAGGAGGCAGCTTCATTTAGGTTGAGAAAAAGCCTTCCTCCGGAGAACTGCCTCTGTGTAACATTTGCTCCCTTCCTAGCTCTGTCCTGGAGTACCCACTGCGTAACTCTGGGGGCTGAGTCAGAATAAGACCTCATTCTCTGGAGGAGGAAATTGTTCTCGGTGAGAGACACTGGGTCTTCTTTTGGTTCTTTGATTCTAAGTGCAGGGGAATCTGTCTGCTGGTCTAATCTATCGCTTGTAACACATAGAAAATGAGGATTGCTCTGGTTTAATTTTCTTATGGGATAGAGAAAATTTATTAGGAAAAAACAGCAAGGATCTTGATTTCTTTAGCTGTTTACAGCTTGGCAGGTATAAAGGTGAGGAAATACCAGAGGCTGACACACCTAGACAGAACATACCTCTGCCACCGCTGGGCAGCCCAACAGATAGTTACAGGGCAGCTCCCTGCAAGAACACAGACCCCATTCACAGCTGGAGCATAGGCACCATGACTCACCGCTGCATTGGCCTCACAGATAGAAGTTAGGTGCCACTGAAAACTGGAATGCAGGCTCTGGCAAGCAGCCGCTCCCTGGAAGGGTAAGCTGTGAGCCTGTAGGCTCCTCCTTTCCGAAGCAACCCCAGTTGTGTCTTGATGGTTGGAGTTCAGTGCTGGAACTGTGGTGAGCTCTGGGCAGGCACAAGCTAGCTGACAGACATCAGATATGGTGCTTAGGAAAAAAGGTGCTAGGCACCTTGTCAGTGCCCCAGGGAGCCAGATGTTTTAATTCATGACACAGCATAGAAAAGGAGCTTTCATAAGAGCTGCATGTTCTGTGGGTCAGGCCCACACAGCGTGATGGGTCCAGGAAGTTATTATGAAAATAGATTTGCCTCTGGAAAGTCTGCGAGTGAGACCAGTAGCAGTTCAACAAAACAGGAGGCTGCAGCTGCTGAGAAAAATGCTTCCAGTGAAATTACTTGTCTATATCCAACTCACTCACTTTTAGATCTCTCCTCCAGACGCTAACCAGAAGCCAGATAGTAGACAGGTACTGAGAGCGGCAAATTTGATTCAGTACAGATACACAACACAGGCCAACTTTGCAAAATAGTTACTTTCTAGTGGAACTCTTCAAAGCTCACAAGTGCTTTTGGTTGCTGAATAGCCTAAAAGATGTAACCAGAAGCACCTTTCTCACCTGCCCTGGAAGGTCCCTTTAGCAAGAGTATGCATGGCTTTTGGCACAAGTGAAGCCACAAGATTCTGCTTCCCTTTCTAAGTCCTTTCTAAGTCAGCTCCTGTTTCCCAAAGTGAGGAACCTTCACTGTGAGACTGATCCCTGGTCTGTGGGCCACAGCACAGCACGCGCCCTCTGTGGAGATTCACTGTAGCTGTTCCACCTGAGGAATACGATTTTTCAGAGTCCTCTCCTTTTTTGCAGAGTCCAACCTTGGCCTGGAAATCAGCATACACTGCCCTTGCCATACTTTTCAGCCCAATGGGGACATCTTGGAGAATTTACATGAGGTCTTGGAGATCAAATTCAAAGGTGATAAAGAGCTGGGCTTGGGGAGGCTACTGGAGGGAAAGCCACGAGTGTCTGGAAAAATGAATAGGTCTTCCTTTGCATATTTGAGGATTTTACCCCTCATAACATTTGGCTTAAAGCATACACACTGCTGGGTTTGCATGTTGATCTTACGAGTACACCCACTTCAAACCTCGGTTACAAGTGAGAGAAAAGTGCAGTCTGGGTGGGGTTTGTGTGTGTTTCTGGAAAAGGAATAATTTCGTATTTCAGTGTCTCTCTGGGAAGCTCAGCTTGATGGATTCTCAGATTTCCACAGAGGCTCTGCTTTCCAGTTAGGGTGACTGAAACACAAGGAAGTCAGGCATCCTGTGTGAGGTGGCCTAGAGAGTCAGTGGCTTGGCTGGCCTAAGACGTAGGAACCTCCTGGCTTGCAGCCCTGGGCTGCAGCCACTGGCCCCCACAGGCTCAATTTCTGAGGCTGTTCTGCAGAGTGCCAATGATCTGACATCTTCTTTAAACCATTCATCTTCTTGCCTGTCCTGGGACTGAAGCCAGGAGCGAGTGGGATGGATTAATGGCCCCACCAGCAGTTTGCAAATGGTAAAACAGGTGGCCCACAGGCCTCTATTTCAGCCCTGCAGCAGTTAGATTCACCAGGAGCAAAGAGTACCCCTAGGAGGGAAGAAGTCCCAGAGTGAGTACACATGGTGCATGAGTCTCTTTTGCCCTGGTTCAGGGCAGGCAGAAGGTGTTAAGCATACTGAAAAGTCTTGTTGCGTTCCTCACTTCCATATTGATGTCCTCTTTGTGGATTCTGTTTCTGTCTGAAGGCATTGACAGTGAAGATGACTATGGCCGTGGGGACTTGGGGCGCCTGAAGAAGCAGAAAGACTTGCATAATCCCCACCTCATCTTGATGATGTTACCCCCACATCGCCTGGAGAGCCCAACACTGGGAGGCCAGAGAAAGAAGCGGGCCCTGGATACCAACTACTGCTTCCGGTAAGTGAGAATCCTGCCAGCAGCTGGGTCCCATGCCTGAGATGGGAAAGTGTGGTGAGACTTCACATCACGGCAAGGCAGTGCCTGCCAAGGGGGCTGCAAGTCACCATGGTACTGCAAGGGCCACGTGAGCAGCACAGCTCAGCTCGTGCTCCTTGCTCCTTGCTGGCTGGCCCAGCAGTCACTTTTGGCCAAGTTTCTGGGTAGAGGGAGGCTTGTGATCAGCCTCATGAGCACAGCCTGGGCAGAGACCAGGCCAGTGGCTGAACTGCCTGGCAGCATGTGCAGGCAGTGCCAGGCTGCTGGCCTGCCGGCTTCTGGCAAGCTCTGCCACTGCTCTGCACCCAGTGCAGGTCAACACCATATCCCACTGGGCAACACTGGTTCTGGTCCTTTTGCTCTGGAAGCTGCTTCATGCAAGCACGTAAAAGATCCCTTTTAGATTCATTTTGTGTCCATTCTGTGTTTCAGGAACCTGGAGGAGAACTGCTGCGTGCGTCCTCTTTACATTGACTTCCGACAGGATCTGGGCTGGAAATGGGTCCACGAGCCTAAAGGCTACTTTGCAAACTTCTGTTCGGGCCCATGTCCGTACCTCCGCAGTGCGGACACCACTCACAGCACGGTACATCCAGCATGTTATCCTTGTGGCCCTGTCACCTCTTTCCTCCCTCAGTCTGATGGCATTTGGTCTCTTCAAAATAGCAGAAGCAGTTTAGATCAATACCTGCAAAAAACTACAAGGAAACTGCAGGAAAGAGTCTGAGTAGTTCAGCAGGGAGAAATGGTCTTCCTATGGAGTCAGTACTGAGTCCATGCTTCCAGCTGAGGAGGAGGATGCTGTCTCTTGTATGAGATGGGGAAACGGCAGGACTTAGGATACTTATTTGGTAGTGGCCAGTTTTTGTTGTTCAGATCAAACATCAACTCTGATGGTTTTATTCTGCATAATTTTTCCTCTAGTTTTCATTTGGCAGAGGAATTTTGTACACACAGGTTGTGCAAAACTGCTATGTCACACACCTGCTGCCTACTATCACATGGGCAGCTGTAGCCCACAAGGGAAGGGGAGCCATGTCCCAAGCGAACATGGCTATGCATCAAGCTTTCTGCACCAGCATTATTTTCAGCTGTATAAATCCCACCAGACAGGGAGGAATCCACTGGGCTGTGAAATTAATGAGTAAAACTGGCAGAAAAGAAATGTTTTCAGGTAACTTATACATAACTTCTGTTTAACATGAGTACCTTGGGCAGCCTTAGGGAAGAATACCACCTGAGCTTCGCTACTGTCTAGAGCAAAAAAAAAAACAAACAAAAACAACAAAAAAAACCAAAAGCAATAGCAAACTATGGCCATGGAAGAACCAAGAGGAAAACACAGGCTAATGAGCAGAAAGTTAATTCCTAAGCAAGGAAAGCCAGAGAAGAATCCTAAGCTACTGTCTGCAGAAGGGAAAAAGAGCAAGCTAGACATGGCAACAGCTCGCTGCAAATTAGCTTCAGGTTTCATTAGAAAAAATTCTGGAAGAAGCAGATTCAGCTGAAGAATAGTTGATTGGGTAGAGATGATACCTCAGAAAAGACGCTAACATTTTCTTGGCAGCTTAAAGAATCTGCACAGCAGCAAAGCTTGCTGAAGCTAAAAGACTGCTATTGGTGGGAGCAGATCTAAGGGTACGAAGGAATGGACAGGTGCTGGGTGAGAAGCACGAGACAGGACAGGTGAACAAATAGCTTAGAAGAGGTAACATGCATCAGTTGGATCTGAGGAACTCTAACAGATACTGAACTGAATCAGCATGAGTGAGATTTTAATACACTTCCTGATACTCTTACTGAGCAAGAAGGGAAATCAAGTGGTAAAGTCAGCTGAGTGATCCCAGCAAGCTTCAGAACAGTACAGCTGCTGACAGCTTGCCAGCACCACCTCGGAAAAACACGGTGAAAAGCAGATTTCTCACCAGTCTCTTTAACCCACTGTCTCTGTTGAATACAGCAGCCCCAGTGCACATGGCACCCATGTGACACAGCCTGTGCCTTTGCTCAGTACCCCACAGGGCTTCTACCAGAATGACTGGAATTACACGGATCTGCATGATAGAACAGAATGTCTCCTTAGCACCTCTCACCCTCCTGTAAAACAGTTAACAGACAACGTGCAGGATGCTGTAATTTAACCCAAACAGGTGCTATGAGCCAAAAGTAGTGCAGGTAGGATTGTGTCTTAGCCTCACAATTCAAGATGTTGCTTACCACTGAAGAGCAGCCAGCTCTGGGAAGACACATGGCAGCTCTTTCATGGTGGTTACATGGCTGGAGTGTACAGTTGTCTGTGGTTTGGGGCCAGCTGGGAGAATGAAGCCAGTGTGGTCCCACAGGACACTGTCCTGGCTCCAGCATTACAGTGTAATGACTTGGAGGATGAAGTGGAGAAAGAAAGCATCAGACAGTTCAAAGCTGGGAGGGAACTGCGGCTACTCGAGAGGACGGGCATCCATCCAGCGCTATCTAGAGATGTTGGTTGAAATAAGCAGCATTGATTTTCTTTGTTCTGGTTTGGTAATAGAACCAAAGACAACACAACCTCAGGCTGGTTACACCCTGACTTACAAGCAGAAGTGGCACTATCCGCTGTACCAAATTAGAGATTAAGCGAGTGAACTACTTGTACTTCTTCCACCCTTAGGCATCAGCCAGTCTACATTGCTACCATTAAAAAGAAAAAGGCTCTGGATCAGGCCTGGGCAGGAGCAGGCCATGATCAGGACGTGGTAAGAATAGCAGTCACATCAGGGAAATGCCCCTGATTAGCACAATCCAAATACCTAGAGACCTGTTTGCTTGCGGTACCTTCTTGTTCTCTTAAATGGACTCCTGACTTTGTCACCACATTTAAATTTGTTTCCACAGGTGCTGGGCTTGTACAACACGCTGAACCCTGAGGCATCTGCTTCACCCTGCTGCGTCCCACAGGACCTGGAGCCACTGACGATCTTGTACTATGTCGGGAGGACACCCAAAGTGGAGCAGCTCTCCAACATGGTGGTGAAATCCTGCAAGTGCAGCTGAAAGGCACCCTGGGCTGCCCAAAGCCTAGAGAGAAACTGTCAGCATCCATTCTGCTCCAAGGCTAGCACAAAAGGAACTGGAGGTCAGAGACTATGCATGCAGAGGGCCGAGTGCTAAACCCTGTGGCTTTGGGTCTGGCAGTCCTTGGGAATCTCTTCTGGAACATTTCTCGGTCTTGTTGCCAGTGTCGCGTTCCCTCTGGGAGTCACTTTGACGACACAAAGGCCACACTCCAAAATGACTGGACAGTTGATGCGGAAGAGAAAGACAGAGTGAAGGAACTGCTGTGTATTTGAATGCTGGGATAGTTGAGCAGGGAAGGCAAGGGATGAGAAAGAGCAGTTAAAAGGAGGGATTGGAAATGAAGCAGTGTTTCCCCTTCTTGCTATAGCTCCCTTGGGACCTCTGCCCTCCCCAGTGGCCTGAAGAATTATGAAGGTTTTCCCTCCTGCAGGAGAAAATCCTGGAATTTTCTTTAGAGAAAGAAAATGCACCGAGAAGCTGCTCAGAGAAGAGATGCTCAGAGATACACATAGACTTGCGTTCCTCAGAACTGTGATCCAGGAGGCCTGTATCTACAGTTGTGTTTCTGCCAGACCTGTAACTTCAGTTGGCAGACCCTGGCTATTGGTTTCCAAAAGCAAACTGCAAGGCCCCCATTCGGCCTGCTGAGGTGGGCAAAGGCAAGCAGAGAAGGTGCTGAGCCCATTTTAAGGAGGACTGATGTCTCTATTCAGCTCTTTTCCTTTTCTGGAGTTTCTGAAAGATGGCTTCTGGGTCAGGGCAAGAGCATTATCTGGGGGGCACCTGGATTTTGGAGCCATTCACTCATGATCTGATAACACCCTGAGGACCTTTTGTCTGTTGTGGTTTGTGATCTCAACGTGGCCCAGGCCTCACCTGCCAAGACTTAAAAAAGAAAAAATATTAATCTCAAAAACATTGTAAAAAATAAATATTTGGGGGGGGAGATGGTTGTTTTTTTCTTCCCCACCACCTTTCCTCCCCCCACAGGGATGCTGTTGAAGGGTTAGATGTTTTTTTGTTTTTAAACTGCTACTACTGTGGCATACTTGGTCACTTTAAAATCTTTCCCTTTTCCTGAGTATCTCTTCAAGGAAATGGGCAGAATTTAGGTCAGCCAGAAAGCTCAGAATGGAAATTCCTTTGTACCTTCAAACAGTGTCTGCTGTGTATGTGCCCTGTCCTTCCTGGTCCCTCTGACAGACATGTCACCTCTCACATCTGATTTTGATAGATTTATATAAAGCACCCCTCAAATATAAAACATTTCCAAGAGTACTGTTTAAATAATCAGGGCATTGCAGTTGTCACAGCTGACAAAAATCATACATTCATTGGAATATATAAGTTCTGCCAGTACAGACTTGTACACAAAGGCCAGCCTCCTCACATTTACCATGAACATTTCATACACTTATAAAATGTTCACAGATGTGGCCCTGGCAAGTAACCAACATACTGTTTTTTAAAAAGTGTGCTTTTTTCAGCCTCAGATACTCCAAAAATTACAAACCTCTAGTACTTGCTTGCATGTCAGATGAGACACAGGCTGCCTCTCCTTCAACCACAACTACTTAATGTTCTAAAGACCACAGAAATTCCTCCTTGTCCCTTCCCACTTCCTGGTCCCCAGCAGTTGAATGTCACGACATGGAACAACTTAATTGCTTGTGGTCAGGGCTCTGCTTGGAATGCAGCTCCTGGTCCTGCCCTGTAGCTGCTTCCATACACCTTACCACAATGCTGCCATAACATGTAATCACAAACATCTCAGCACATCCATTAAAAAAAACTCCTCCTCCATCACCAGCTGGCAAGATCAGCAAGGGTGGGTCAGCAGAGGGAGCCTGCCAGGCTGCATGACATTTTGGCTGGGGCACACATGCTCTGAGAGAGGCACTCCCCAGTGCTCAGCTTTATCCCTTTCATCTCCCTGGGGCTCCTTGACCTGTCTTCTTGGTGTAATGATGAAAATTACTGCTCTGATCAGCCCTGCAGCACTAATTTATTGCTGTGCAGCTCTCCATGCCCATGCCTGCCAAGGGAGGGAGCAGGTAAATGCACTGCAACTTCACTACCATGCTGATAGACAGTCCAGAAATTTAGTGGCTGCCCTGGGGAGGGGAGGGAAATCCAGATGCCAGTTGGCACAGAAATTCTCTCTAATCTCCTTTTAGCAGCAGCAGCCCCTGGGGAGGTTTTGGTTTACAAGCTACAGTCTGTTCTTTGGTCATTGTTCCTCGTGAGCCCTGTGCTGGCTCTGCTGCATATCCAACTGAAGAGCTTTCTCGCTATTGAGGGGAAAAAAGCACAAGAAGGGGGAGCTGCAAAGAGCTGAGCAAGAACACGAGCTTCACAGTCATACGTGGCACTTGGAGCGTGCCAGAACCTCCCACAGATTAACCCTGGCAGGCCCCTCGAGGTGAGCCTGCGTTGCTAGTTTTGTTCACTGCTGCTCAGTGGCAGGGAGGGGCGGAGGAGGAAGCAGGCCGTGCTGAACTGCTTGGAAAGAAGGCAAAATGGAAGGGAAAGCAGGACAGAGGATTCCCGGGGTGTTCAACCAGTTAGGATTCAGGTAACCTCATGGTTCTTCCCGAGTCAAACACTGCCTTCAGTTACTCCTCTCCCCAGACTGAAGAGTTTCCTATCAAATGCAGTTTCCTATCTGTGTTTTAGAATTAGATTTGTAAGACAGGCTCCACATTCATTTTCTTACAGTTAAAATAGCTTTCTTAGGGTCATTTGAGCTATAATTTAGCAATCAACTATACCACCCACATGGGGTTAATAAGAGATTGAATCCACTCCTGGGCCCAGGCTTACTAAAACATTTCAGGACGCTAGTGTGAGAAAGACCAACAGATAGAGAGTTCTCTATCTGCTCTGTTACTAGGTGGCAAATTGACAAAGACAATGGGAATGAAAAAGTGGGTTCTTCACTGCCAACAATGAATACAGCTCCCAACAGTTCCCTCTTGTTATTCCCAGGGACAAACAGAAGCTGATGAAAACAATCCCACCGCACTTTCCCTCTCTTTTAACAAAGATCAATGGTTTGAAAGAGTGAAAAAAACACTATTCTGCACTGCCATAGGGAAGATCCTACCCAAACAATCAAATCACCATCTGTGTAGTTCTGTTTGTCTGTGGCATACTCCATTACAGCATGCAAGAAGTCTAGTACCAAACTTGAACACTTTGTTTTTCAGGCTATTGTGCAACACAGAGCTCTGCAAGGGACACTGTTTCTGTAAGTGCAGGAACATGCACTGATATTTCAACAAATCATGCACTTTTTGCAGGCTAAATGAGTCTTTGTTCTCTGGTCTGTGGTGCTGGATGGTCTCTAGCTATCTCAGAACACTTATAAAAAAGCAGTAAAACATCTCAGTTACTGCTGTATGAACAGGAGTATGCTTCTTGGTGCTTCACCTTTCCAGAACCAATAGGCATCAGTACTTATAGTAAACAAGACAGACCATGTCCAAAAGCAAAGACAAAAAGACAAACATATGTGTTCACTTCTCCAGCAACATCATGGCTCCGTTTTGCTCTGTCCTCTGATGTCTCACACCTCTTTTGCTGTAGTTGTACAATTTCCATTCTCCCTGTTAACAGACCCTTTGCTTACTGCTCAGTCTGCTATGAAGCTTTCCTTATCAATGACGAGGGTGTCCTTAACCAGAGCAAAAATAAAGGAGGCCTCCCTGCTCAGATCACTTCGTCAGTGAAACCACTACCTCATGGCAGAAGAGGATCCATTGCCTACGATGTCTTATGAGGCAGATGTCTTCAATACAATCCAAGGTTCAATGCAGGACAGGTTGAGCATCACAGTGTGAGCAGGACACAGCTCAAAGAGCCAGGTCTGTTGAAGAGGAAGGGCTCCTTTTGCTCTGCTTGTGTTTCTAGTAGCATACAAAGCATCAAGTATATACTAATGAGTTTTCTTCTCTTAATATGTGATTGGAAAGCAATAAAATCTATCAAGAAAATGCAGTTTTCAGTTTTCAAAGCTATGGTACCTACCCACTTGCAAAACTATACTGATTTGCAATAGCGCAGAAAAACAGATAGCTGTCTGGGCTGCCTACAAGCTACATTAATTGTGTTTTAGAATAACAGCAGTGATGTGGATAGTATGATAGAGTGCCTTATAATTATTTAAAATATCTATTAACATTTTTTAAAATTCAAAATCATTAGAATATATTGGTCAAGAGCTATATAAAAGTAATAACATGTTTACTATGACATTTAGCAAAAGAACATTTGAACACTCAGGTCTCTGCTTTACAAATGTTTTCTTTCATTTCTAGGGAAGTCATTTAAGCCTTTTTTCATTCTTCATGCAACTCCACAGGTGACAGAGAGATACAACTAAGCTGAGTGTCTTTAGTCCTCCCTTGAACAGAGGCTTCTGATACCCTGTATAAATGCAAGATCCTTTATCATGCAACAAGTCAAAACAGAATAGACAGTTTTACTTATTGGGAATCAAATTGTCTTAGAAACGAATGCAGATACATCGCTGAGAAATACAGCAAATGAAAATTGCCTATTAATGTTTGTCAATCTCACTCTTCTCTGAAAAACAGTACTGCACTTGAAATTCCGTAGTTGTGCTTATGCCTGTAGTTTCAGAAATAGCTTTACACAGTGCCTTGGATGTCACAGAGTGTTTCCAAGAAAGACCAATTTCAAAGATTACAGACATCAGTTACTCAGCTGCTTTTAGAACATCCATCCCTAGGACTAAGTTGCATAGGGAAGATGGCAGGGATGGTCTGAAGGCATTCAACCAATCAGCTGGTCCCCTTCTGGTACTGGACTATGATTTCATGGAAAATACACTTAGGGATAAGGACCTTTATATCTAGTACAAAATAGAAGTACTTTAAAGCTGTGGCTTGTAGCAAAAAAATCCCACATGTTATTGGCTTCCCACTTCCTGCAGACTTGCTGAATAGTTTTCAGGCAGAAGCTCTGTCCCCTGTGGTATATGCTGGCACTCTTGATTTACACCAAGGAATACCACTCTTTCAAGCAAGCAGGAGCTTCTGAAGACAGACATTTATTTCTCCATTCAGGGGGGTAATGGTCTTTGTGCAGGGTGATGTTCTTTATATCTCATTCCACTTAACTGGCTAGGCAGGATGGTACCTCATGCTATCTATAAAGACTGATGCAAGAAATAATTACACATAGGGGTTATGCGTGTTGCTGAAAGTGAAGGTGACTTTCTTTCCAGGTTTGCCACCACTCAGACATTTTTCACCAGCTGCATGCAAACATTCATCCTTCGTACACAGAAATTAGCATGAGGCATTGTAATAATAAACCATGACCAGTGCACGCTCATTATTTGATGCATGAAGCAAGTTGAGTCAGATCAGACCAGAGATTTCCTGACATTCTTCAGGAAGGATTTATTCTTCCTTTTGAGGTTATTATCCCCATTACGAAGCACGACAAAGCAAAGATCTGCTGTACAGCCATGGGAGAAACTTAGAAGATCTCTGCAATGCATGCAGTGTAATGACTGGGGAATGTCTTGGTGACCATGTTCTGGGCTTTTCTTTAACCAAAAATGTATGGTCTTTTGAAGTGCTGAAACTCTGTGGCCTACATGCTTAGGAAATCTCCACTGCTTTGAAGTATTTGTAAGAAACTTCACTTTTTGGAGGAAGCAGTAGCAGATAGTCTGACTTGCAACAAGAGCCTTTGGAAGATGTCCAGCTTACAACAAGCTGCTTTGAGTGACACCATTTGAATCTTCTCCATCAAAAGATGCTTGCTACAGATATCCCTAACTATACTTCAGGATCTGAAGATCTCATTTGGATACCATTATGCCAAGCAGTCTATTGTGCTAATTGGAAGAACAGTAAACAAACAGAACAGAGAGAAACAAAATAAAGGAGAAGTCAATAAAACCTCAGGAAAGCATAGCTTTGCAACAGCTACAATGTGCTGCCTATATTCCTTAAGTTGTCCTTTTTTTTTTAATCAACATCACTTGCATTTGCCCAAGTCATTTACAAGACCTAAGAACACTTGCAGAGCCACAGTTTGGCAGGAAGAGTCACCAATCTTTATTTTTAGCTATTTTTCAAGAAGAACTTTCAGCAGACATATGGAGACATGAGTGAACAAGAAAAAAACATCTGTGAACAAGAAAAAAAATTTCCCAGCTGATATCACAGACAAAATGTATACCACATTGAATTTCTCATAGAATGAGAAATGGTGGAAATAACATGA